CTGTCATAATAAATACTACAATAAAATAGTGAAGAAACATGGCTTTGTAGTGTGAAATTTTTCAAATCACGGAATCTGGGCGTACAAATTCTTTTACTTTTAATTTTTGATATTTATTAATTTAAAAAACAAGTTTATCACTAGAAACAGCAAATGAGTGAAGGCGACTGGAGTTTAAAAGGATGGGAGTACTGGAGGTATTTACATAGACTAGAGTAAGACCAACAACTTGTAGTAGAATACTGATGGTATTTGGGCTTTGAGTGGATGTTTCACACATGTAAAATGAGATGACCAAGATTCTTTTATTAGAATCAGCCTCAAAGAAGTAGTATCAAAAGAAATGTTGATTTAACTTGGGTTATTCTGAGGGGTGTTCAAAAACGGAAACATGGAGAAGACAATCAAGATTGTGTGTAAGGGAATTACAACCACTGTTGCAGACTTGATGTATATTGTGGGAAAAGAATTATATTCTCTTCTTGTGTCAGAGTTATCAATTCGCTTGGTTCTGAACATCCTTTATTTGCAATTGTGCAGAAGCTTTGCCCTATGCTTCGTAGAAGAGGATTCCCAGCTACTTAGCTTCCCAACCTTCACAGTGAATTTTGATAAATGTGCTGCAATTCTTGACTCTAAGTTGCTGAGAAGTATCAACCACGCTCTGGGGAGGTCCTTTCCTTTTCTACGTCAATGTAATTATCTTCTACGAGACACCAGTTCCTTAGTCTTAATGGATAATGGTCACTGAGATTATTTATTATCTATTATTTTTACTGATGAATCTGCTGAACAGTAACATAGACCACCTATATACTGAGAGCACTTTATTTACTCTTTGAATATAAACTTACACATGATGTACTATGTGATGAGTTTGAAAATGCTCATAGTCAGATTGTTGGGAAGTTTTCCTGAGCACTGGGACACCCAGCCATTTGTTGAAGGAATAGAATCATCCCTGAAGAAAATGTGTATATATTGGATTTTATTTTTCAAAGATAATTTCCGTGAGGGGATAATCAGTGTGTGGAAGAGGGAATGGAGAGATGGCTCAGCGGTTAGGAGCACTGGGTACTCTTGCAGACGACTCAGGGGCAATTCCCAGCATTCACATAGTAGCTGAAAATTGCCTGTAACTCCAGTTCCAGGAAATCCCATGCCCTCTTCTGACTTTTGTGGGCAATGCATGACATGGATGCATTTACATACATGCAGTTCCTGAGAACAGTGGAGAAGGAATTCACTACATGGTGGTGGAAATTGTAACTACTCTTCTTTCTTGGACAGGCTTGGCCACTCCTATGGTAAGGAACACTGCGTCTCTCATATTGTTATATATTATTCCTTTGCTTATGGCTGGAGAGTGGATGTCAAACGAATCATTGTCTTGACAACACTTGCCCTTTTAGCTAGAGTTACATCATTGGGGTGGACATACTCCATCACATCATTCTGTTTGCTTTCGTTTTCTTTTACATGCTTTGGCAATCCTTGTGACCTTGCCTTTATTACTAAGCTGTTAGGTATTTGTTTTGGAACTAAGTAATGGAATTGTTAAGATAATAAGAATTGAGGATTTCTGCCGTATTTCAGGTCCCTGGATTTAGGCACTTATTTGACAGTTTATTCACTCCATAATATTAACTGTTAGCGATAACAGAGATTGTTGGAGTGACTGCCAGGAAACTGGCACTGCACTGTGCTTGAAGCAGATTGGTGTGTGTTTGAGCTTTGCTTTTTCATTTGGAACCATGAACACTGGTGGCATTCAAAGAGTTTCACATCAGTGTCTCTCATGTACCATCCTTAATATATGTTTGTGTCCAGATGTGCCTACCTCACTTACTTCACAGAATGCCAAGTCTAAATATTTTTGGTATTGATGAGATCAAATAACATGTAATTTGAATGATAGTATTAAAAAAATGGTGTTTAGTTTAACTTAAGAACCATTAGAATGACCAATGAAGACCTCAGGAGCTTAGCTGCCCTTGAGAAGGGGGAACTGCCAAGACTCAGCCTAGCCACAAACGTTAAGAGGAAAGTGGTGATGCTACCTTCCTGTTGTGAAGTGGGCAGAAAGCACTGGCATAGCAGGCAAGGCAGGGGTCAGTGACACAGTTCTGAGAATCCCAAAGAGATCTTGCAGTTTCATTGACCCAGCGGTAGGGGGAGGGGGTGTAAGAGAGAAGGACCCCAAGCGAAAATACATTACATACAGTGAAAACAGGCTTCCTGGTTCCCTTTCTACCCTGTAAGCAGGTCTCAGCAAAGGTACTGGAGAGCCTTAGGTAAAGATTAGAGGGTCAAATAATCTGAAGAGCACGGCCAAGCAGCACCCAAGCACCCTGGCTGTTGCTCCCTCCAAGGCCACAGTGCATTAGCTCTGCGCACATCTGTACAGCTGCAACTTCCCACATCATCTGCCAAGGAAGGACTAAGCTGCAGTCAAGACTGAAAAGGCATACAAGGTTTAATTAAGAACTAGATTCCTTAGCAAAAGGCTGGTTTCTTTTAGAATTGTGCATTTAGATTAAAGGATGTACTTCCAAGGCCAGGCATGGTGATACACACCTGTAGTCTCAGTGCTTGGGAGGTAGAGGCAGGAAGTTCTATTTAAGCCCAGCCTCACTATATAGTAAGTTTGAAGCCAGCCTGCCTCAGAACAACAAAGTGAAAAAAAAAGTTCTAAAATGTAATCCTATATGTTAATACAGAATTTTAATGTTTTCAGGGGGTTGCTAAAGATGAAGTGTTAGCAAATCGATTGCTACATTTTCTAATGAAACATGTCTTCCATCAAAAAAGAGCTGTGTTTAGACACAACCTTGAAATTATTAAAACTCTGGTTGAATGCTGGAAGGAGTGTCTCTCCATCCCTTACAGGTACATAAAATTTGCTAGTTTTTACAATACTGTTTATAAATAGGTTAAAATATAATGTGTTTTAAATGATGACTAAAATGAAGTGTAATATGAAATGACAGGAATATAAGTTTTAATGGACTATCTAAACTAAACATAATGATAGTAATAAGTTGAAATAGAGTCCATGTGTAAGATAAACTTTGCTACTGATGAAACTGAAACTCCAGAGTTTGATACAAGAAGCATTTCAGGGTGCTCTGCCTGCAGTGGTTTCCAAATCTGTCCTTCAGTTCAACCCTAACTTTGCCCCACACTGGCAATTCAAGTGTATTGCCCTGCTCTACCCCTAAAGGATTCCCTTTAGGACTTTTGTTTGATTCCTTTTAGCCTAGCCTAAAACAAGCTTACAAAAAAAATTTTTTTTAAGTTATTATCAACAGATAGTATCGGGGCAGATAATTAGAAGAGATGAGATATAAAGCTACTGGTTTTCTAACATTAGAATAAACTGGATGTGAACAAATGGGTATTAGCAAGAAGGGGTCTTGGAAGTGGGAAGAGGGTAAGTATTCCTTGTACTATTTAGCTGAAAATTAGCTTTCGAAAGTGCTCTATCTTCCTGATTCCTCATTCATTTTATAACCATCTCTTTTTTCTCCCTGTGCTTATGTTACAGGCTAATATATGAAAAATTTTCTCATCAGGACCCTAATTCTAAAGATAATTCTGTAGGAATTCAATTGCTAGGCATTGTAATAGCCAATAACTTGCCTCCCTATGACCCAAAGTGTGACATAGCAAGTGTAGAGTAAGTACCATATTTGTTGTTTGATTGTTTTTTAGATTAAAGTCCACCTGGATTTGATTTTCAAATGGAGTATGATTCAATTTTGATATATTCTAGGACCATTTTTTTTATCTTTTTGAAATAAGGTCTCCATGTAGTACTAGCTGGCCTGGAACTCGCTATGTATTCCAGGCTGGCCTTGAACTCACAGAAATCCACCTGCCTCTGTCTCCCAAGTACTGGGATTAAAGGCAAGCACCATCACACCTGGTTGTAATTTTAAAAAAATTTAATTATGTAAATAGGCCAGGTGTGGTGGTATATACCTTTAATCCTAGTACTCAGGAGACAGAGGCAGGCAAATTTCTGTGTTCAAAGGCAGCCTAGTGTACATAGAGAGTTCCTGGCTAGCCAGGACTACATACTTATATCCTGTCTAAACAAACAGAAAATTAGTATTGTTCCACATACATGTCGGCAGGTAGGAATTAGGTGTTTGCTTATTGTGCATGTGTATGGTAGATGTGTGTGTGCACAGCATGCCCACCCATGAGTGCACATGCAGAGTGAAGAATATCAGCTATATTCATTTATCACATTCTACCTTATTCCCTTGAGACAATTTCTTTCACTGAACTTGAAGCTTGCTATTTCACCTACTCTGGCTGACTAGCAAGCTCTTGGGAGCCAAATGTCTCTGCCCCCTCAGTGTTGGGTTTCAGGAATTTGTGACTTCCCAGCTTTCATGTGAGTGCTGGGATTTTAGCTTGGATCCTCATGCTTGCACAAATGCTCACTGATCATCTCTCTAGCGCCTTTTGTTATTTCTTAAATGGGCATTTTCAGCATTCCTCTTGGAAGCATCATGGGCTCTGTCAGAGGATTCATAGTGTTTTGACTGTGATGCTGTTCATAGGCTCCAGTGGTGTCCTGTCTTCAATGATGGCATCTTCAGAATGGGGTATGATGTGTGGAGGAAAGATATTTTAGTAAACGAGTTTAAAACATGGCAAAAGGATACTTTCTTGCCCTGCTCTTCAGAACTTTTGAGGCTGGTATTCATACCATGCTCTGTAAGTTCAGCTATGCCCTCCTGGTCACCTCTCTTTCATGGGGGACTTTTGGTTCGTATTTACCTCCTCAGACCAGTTGTACCAGCTCCTGGTGCAGTAGACAGCATGTGAATTCAGGAAAGAGGCAGCCAGCAGCTCAGCATATACTTGAGAACTCTTTATTCTTGGATGGGGGCTTTTTGAGCTTTGCTTTCCACACCAGGAGCTACCTCACGGAGTCTGTGAGGCCAACAGTTCACAAAGCAGTAGTCTTCTCTCTTCTCATCATTGTTGTCTGTGGGTGGTTTTTGAAGGGACTCTGTGCCTCCCAGTCTTAGGGACTAGCTCCTTCCTGCTGTTCTCTGGAGATCCAGCAGGGGAGCTATTCTCTTACTGTAGTGCCGACCTGAGATTGAACAGTAGATTCTCATGGTTATGTTGTCAAAGCCCTTAAATCAGTATTTGTGCACATACTCAAACAGGCAGTTTGTATTACATTTAAAAAAAATTTTAATGTCAACAAAAGTTTCATTTTCTTGTAAAAATACACGATTTTTAAGAGGGAAGCAGAACTTGAATCAGAAGACATCGTCGTGTTACTTTTCTGTATTTCGAATTTATATTTGATGCCTTTTCTTCTTGGAGAGAAAGAACACCTGAACATTCTGGGAGAAGCTTATATTTGTTCAAGTCAATTTCTGGAAAAAGTGTCACTTTTAAATTCTTGCATGATTCTCCTCACAGATAGTTTAAGATGGCCTGGCCGATTCATGACTTCTTACAAGCAGAACTGCCTCCGACTATCTAAACCACGTCTACTTTATTTGCTAATTCTGGTTGTTCAATATGTTTTAAAGCATCATCCAGACGTTTGGCAAGAAATGAGCTCCTGATGGAGGTTCCCTGAGCTCTCCACTGAGAACAATATTAGTTCTGTCCTTTAATGGCTGGTTTTTCTCAGGAATGGAGAACGCAGCTTTCCTGCCCATGATCACGAGATTCTGTTTACCTTCTACTGAAGAGGTTGTGGTCATTCTTTGGAAGTACTTGAACTTGTTTCTGAGTGGGGTCCAGGGTAGGTCCCCATTCTTGCCAATGCCCATGTTCTGGGACACGGCGACAATGCAGTTTAGTGCTCCCAACACTGCATCACATCTTATATTCGTATTTTCTCAATGTGAATATTAATGTGACATGAGGAAGAAAATTGTTACATTTTTGTGTCTAACATCAGAATGGATTGTTTTATGCATATTTTCTATATTTGTTACAGATACTTTCAAGCTTTAGTTAATAATATGTCCTTCGTGAAATATAAAGAGGTGTATGCAGCGGCAGCAGAAGTTCTAGGACTTACTCTTCAATATATTGCTGAAAGAAAACACGTGAGTGTTGTCAGTTCTATAAACTTGCTTTTTCAATTTTGATGTGTAATTGTCCTTGGTATTTATTTGTATTTCCTGCATGCTATTTGAAACCCACCGGGCACCCAAGGGCATCCTTTCATGTTAACGCAGCACTTCTTGTGACGGGGTGCTGTGTAGGGACTGAGGTGCAGGTCACTGAGAGATGGTGAGTCCCAGCAGGACAAAGACAAGCGAGGAAGGGTGTGCAGGTTCCGAGGTTCTCTGCAGTGTTCTGGCAGGGTGACGAGGCAGCTACTGCCTGCAGGATGTGTCCTCGTCTCTCTTCTGCTCAGCAGTTTTTGGTTCCTTTCTCTAACTGCTTTGGTCTTCTCTTTTGTCAACACCCCTGCCTACTTCCTGTAGCCTCATGGATTTAAAACCCATCCTTATGAGTCCCAAATTGTATCTCTAGTTCCTTTCCTGAAGGGAAAAGCAGTAGAGCCTGTCACGTAGGCAGCAAGGAACCAAGGCAGCAAATTAGACTGGCTATAGTTTTATTTAGATTTCAAATAAAACTAAAGAAAGCAAACCCTTTGGTACATGGAACTTCACTTTTCTTTTTGAGATTTTAGCTATTTTTTTCTATTTACAGTCTTTATACACTTCAAATTTTAAAAATTTGTAGTATTACTTACTTTTCACTTCCACGTATGTGTGTTTTATTCTGACCCCTCTCACCTCCCACCTCCTTGCACCCTTCTTTACTCTTCCCCTCCCCCCAGATCTCTCATGTTCTTATCTGTTTGTTTTGTTTTGTGACCATTCAAAATTAATCAGGGCCACCTATTTGTTGGAGCCTGGTGGGCTAAAGACAGCCATTCCCCCTCTCCTAGAATTTATCAATAGCCAGTAATTCAGAGGTGAAGGATAGGGCCCTATGAGACCCTCCACTTTCCTTGACTGATTATTATATGGCTAGTCTTCTGTGGGTCCACTGTAGGTAACCATGG